ATAACTACTGTTACAGGGGTTTAGATGTCATAATCGAGGTCAGGGACAACATTCTGTGATAATCCAGAGTATGGGAGTGTGAGGGACATGCTATGAGTTGATGGCTCTTTGTAACCAGTATTAATCATAGTATGTTTTTTTTTTTTTAATGACCCAGGAATGCAACCAACGTTCTCATTTTATTTTTCTTGGTATTCTTAGCACAGGGCTTGGCATATAGTAGGTGGTTATTAAATACTTGATAACTAAATGAGTGATGCTTTTTCTTATGAGAGAAAATAAATGTTTTTAGAAGAGTCAGCTTTATACCATGGTTTCAGGGAATGAATTGTGATGAAAAGTGAAGATTGCTTTTGCTTGAAAGAGGCTGACATATTTCCCAGACCCGGGATCACTTTCTGTGGTGTATGATTTAAGGGTGAGCGAGCATGCCAAAGCACTCCACTTGAGTTGAGTGATGGGGAATGAGTTGTGGAGCTGTGGTCTTAGATGGTATTTTGTGAAAAATAGTGGGAGATTTATGGCTATTAAACAACTTTGTAGCTGCCCCCTTCTTGTTTCGAAGTCTGCCAAATCTCTCCTCCTGTGGTCTGTATCAAGTTCTTTCAGAGCGTCCATGACATTTAGAAATATCCACCGGACTGCAGTTTTTCATTGAATGCACCCATTGGAAAGGGGCTTGAATTTTACGCATTTATCAGTTCCGGTAATCACTGAGTGAAATTCTCGCTTTGCAAGTCTGTTGTAGAATACACTGTACGTGCATTGAATCTTCTCCAAGCAGGTTGCCAAAGTTCTACCTTCCTTCTTTCCGTTATGGATATTGCAGAGTGCAGTATATTAGTGGCTATTTCCTTTATTGATGTGAGTTTTAAAAATTATTGGTAACTCTTTGATTGTAAGCAGGAGAAGAATCAAGTAACCTTCAGAATGCTTTAATGCATATTCAGCAGAAGGACTTACAAGGCCAGAATGGGTGTTTCAAGCCTTGCGGGGAAGGGGATACATATTTACCATCATCTGCTTTTTTCTATTCTAGAACTCACTCTCAGTAGCTCTAGAAGAAACAGAAATGGGATATTTCATCACAAAAAGCCAATCAGAGATGACATTTATCCATGTTGTACAAGTACTAGAGAACTGTTACAGGAATTTTTCTCTCATTATGGGTTCATGTCAATATAGGAGTGCATGGATTAGAAAAGAAATAGGGCCTTTTGGTGTTTTTTAAAAAATTTCAGGCTTAAGTCTGAGAAATTTCCAAAATGTAGAAAAGTTTCAAAAATAATGAACACATGTAGGGATCATCCAGAATTTGTGGTTTCTAATACTTTGACATTTTTTTAAAGTCTTCTTTAAATGAAAGAAAGAACATCATATATACAGCTGAAGTTCCCCTCTCTCCACATCCCACTAGCCCCAGTCCTACTACACTGCCCCTTGGCAGAAGCAATCTTTTTCATGAATTTAGTGTATATTTTTTATAATTTTTAGATGTTTCCATACATACATGAAATCAACAAACTTTATGTTTCCATAAATATTATATTACATTTATCATCTTGCAACTTGAATTTTCACTCTGTATTACATTTTTAGACCTATTCTAAGTGAGATATAGAAATCAAGTTTGTTTCTCTTAAATACTAAATATTATTTGGTCTTATTGATATACAACATTATATTTATTTATTTTCCTCATCGACAGACATTTGAGTTAATTCCAGTTTCTTCTGTTATAAATAATGCTGCAATAAACATTGTTTTATGTCTCAATTTGCAGAACCATGTGAGATTTTCTGTAGAGTATATATTTTAAGTGAAATTGCTGCACCAATTTTCAATTTTATTAGATATTGCTAAGTTACTCTTCAAAGCAGTCAAACCAATGTACATTCCCACTAGCAAGGAATGAGAGGATAACAGTTTCTTTTTCCTTTGTTCTCACTATTACTTGCTATTGTGAGACTTAAAAGTTTGTCAATATGATGAGTGGAAAAATCATATCTTGTTTTAATTTGCATTGCCCTTAGTCCTAGTAAATTTCAGGGACTTCACTTATGTTCATTGACTGTTCAGGTTTTCTCATCTTTGAATTTCCAGACATTTCCTTTGTCTATTTTTCTATAATATTTTCTATTGATTTAAAAACATTCTTTTTTTATTTGGATATTAATTATTTATTGTAGATATTGCAAATATTTCCTGACAGGAGAATTTAAAAAGTAAAATGTAAAACTATAATTCCTTGCCATAGGCATTTACAAAATATGGCAAGAGCCGGGTGTGGTGGCTCACGCCTGTAATCCCAGCACTTTTGGAGGCTGAGGCAGGTGGATCACCTGAAGCCAGGAGTTGAACACCAGCCTGGGCAACATGGTAAAACCCTGTCTCTACTAAAAATGCAAAAATTAGCTGGATGTGGTGGCACGTGCCTGTAATCCCAGCTACTCAGGAGGCTGAGGCATGAGAATTGCTTGAACCGGAGAGGCAGAGGTTGCAGTGAGTTGAGATTGTGCCTCTGCACTCCAACCTGGGCAACAGAGTGAGATTCTGTCTCAATAACAACAACAAATTTGCCAAGGATTCAAATATTTGAGAGTCTTTATAATCTTCAAGATTCAGATTTACTCAGATTTGCTTATTCTCATTTTAGGCATATCTTCTTAATCCAGGCAAAAGAAAACATTATTTAAATTTTACATTACTGCATACTCAGTATACAATGGGTATACTGCCTCAGTTTCAAGGCGAGTTCTTTATTCTTTGGCAGATACTGTATAAATTTAAGACATTTTCTTGCCCACTTCTTTCATATGATAATTGTGTCTTTCTGAATTATGCTTCTAATCCTAAGGTTCAGTGAACATCACTATTGAGAGGATCACATAGGCTTCATTTTGAAAAAAGCCAAGTCAAAGAGCTGATAGTTGGAACACTGATTTGTAGTTGTTTTCCTAAACATCCAGCCATAGAAGTCCCACCAAAAGGCATAGTTTGCAAAATCATTCTTTCCTGGATTATTTTCCATGATGTGAGTTTATCAATGGACACTGAGCAGAAAAGTAATTAAGTGCTGGTCATAGAATGATGACTGCAAAACAACAGAAGCCACACCATTTTTTGCTCTACCTAAAATACGAAACAAAACTAAATATCTCTTTTACGCTTGGTTACAGAATTCTAATGTGTAGCACAGTCAGAGGTGTTTCCGGAAAGGTGGCATTTGTTCCAGTAATTGTAGAAAAAAGCTGTCATCAAATTGTCAACAGCCCAAATCGAGATTAAAAGTTCTAAGAAATATCACAACACAACAAACTAAAACTCATATTGGATTTTTGGGTCTTTTTTTTAAAGTGATGAGATGGAGCAGAAATATTGACAGCTATGGCTTCCTATGGAGGAAGTATGATAGATCTAGGGAGGATGACCCCTGTACCCTCACCCCATATATCCTGCCTCAAGCATTAAATAGATGTCAAATTTAGGACACTATCATCATGTTTCATTCATGTAGAAATTACAGGAGACCTTGAATACCCAATAGAGAGATACTTGGTGACTGTAGTATTTGATTTTTAATCTAATTTTGGGCTCCACATTCTTGTAGTGTGCTAAAAAGTAGAAAAGTCTTTCCTACTTTAAAACATGTTTTTCTTGATGACTAAGCCTTTATTTCTGTGGACCCAATAGTCTTGGATCCAACTTGAAACACCATATATTTGCCTTGGAGCTGGAGTGAAGAAGTGCTACCTGAAAACTGTTTTCTACCTAGGGACAGGGCTTCTGATTTTGCTGCACTCTCTTCCTGTAAGTCTCCACTGAAAGCCGCTTAGTCAAACGTCTCAAATGTCAGAAATGAAATTTAAAGGGTTTTTCTAGCAAGTAGGTCTAATCTCCTACTTAGTTTTGATTCCTATAATATAGGTAATCTCTTTGGAGAAAAGGCCTGCTTTTAGGAGGGCAAATATATCCCATAGAATGTATTTCCTACTCCGGAAAGAAAAATGTAGCATTAATGAAATTTACTTTTTCACGAAGCTTGGAAAGATTGTAAGCTTCAGATTTTGATCCTAGCAGATGTTCTTTTTGGGATATTAAAAAAAAAAAAAGCTGCATTTGATTTAGGAATCTCAGTTAAGAGTTACAGTGGTAATAATGCTTCTTGCTACTAGCAACCACACTGTGAGTGTGGCACACTGGCCATTGGTTCTGAGTGATAGCTGACCCCAAGCTGAAGTACTTTCTTTTGGCTTTAGCTCACAAGGATGTTGGGTTCTGAAAAGAGAGCCTTAGCAGCTTGGGCCATCTCGGACACCGTTCTATGGTTAAAGAGTTGTCTGCATGCAGTGAAAAAGCATCATCCTAGATGTATCTTACGTTATTTTCTTTTAGGCCTTGGAGTGACACATTTGTTGATAAGCACTACATCCCAAATCCAAATTTCAGACGTATTTCTCATCGCTGTTGTTAAACTGAGCCAGAATCCCCAGTGCACAACACAAGACAATTTATATCCTTTCCTATAGTGACTTCATTCTGCTGAGTCTTTCATGCCACTGGGCTCATGGAAGTCAGCCCTGGTTTTCCCCATTTATCCCTAGGGGCAGAACTTAACCTCTTCACTAGTATCCAAAGAAATCTGCCTATAGCCAGCCTTTACTTTGTGGGAATTACTGGATGAAGGCCTGATGGAAATCTAAGCCTTTAACTTTTCCTGTCTTCTGCCTCTCTCTTTCTCCTCCTCCCTCTCCTTTCATTTCAGCACATAAACTGCCCCCTTTTCTTAGAGCTATTCCATATGTACCGAGGCCCCTCAAAGCTTTGGATCTTACCCAACACTTACCAGAATATTATCTCAACAAAAACAACTCTTGCTTCCTAAGAAATATCTTGGTGGATAATTTTCTCCAAGCTTAGATCCCAAGGAGACGAGTCTAGGTAAATGAGGAGTTTGGTATTTGGTGTTGCTTCATGTTGACTTTGTTTATGTCACACAGGCTTCCAGTGAGGACGTTGCTGGCTCCCCGGAGCTCCACTACACGCCCTTGCCTTCTGCTTCCAGGGAACTCACCAGTCACCAAGGTTGGAACTCAGCTTTTTATTGCTCTCAGTGGGTGCAGGGAGGGACACTTGGCTGTGCAGAGCTCTGGCTCATTACTGCTGCCTTGGCACTTTAGAAAGAACACAGTGCTTTTTAAGTCCTTGATGAGAAAACCATACCTGTCACACGTAGTGATTTTAACCTGTATTAAACAGAATTTAGTGGCAGTCTACTCAGGAGGCAAATAAATCTACGGTATAATATAATTTTGTGATTTTTTTTCTTTAAATAAAGAGATTAGAGTACTTAAAAATTATCAAGGAGATGTTAACTCCAGTATTAGTGATGGAGAGAATTTGGGAAACTCACTAACATTTATAAAAGTGTCATTGTTTGAGAATATAACAACATCTGTAATTTCAAAATGAATGAACTCTACGTTATAACTAAAAGGAATTCCAATTTGCCTGGCAACATTGAGAGAAGCCATGTGCAGTTTTTGCTGAATTCCCTTATTCTCAAAACGTTAATTTGGTTTACTCAGTTTTACCAAAGCCTTGCATGTCTGTTGCCATCTCTAGAGTCTTCAACTTCAAAAGCAGACAGAACACTGACATGAAATATTTGAAAATGTCTTATCCCTAAGCTGGCTGTTTTAAATATTGTTTCCCCAAGAAGGAAATTCCACTTGTACATGTAAAGAGGAACGTGAACAGGGACTATTCCGGCATTGTCATCCCAGCAGCATTGCAGGATGAGCAGGTGGAAGAACAGGCTGTGTAGATGCTCAGAAAGTAGTGAACCTGACCCTCCGAGTCACCATCTGGGCTCTGGGCAAATGGGATACTTGTATTCTGCAGGAAATGAAGAAGAGAGTAGTGCAGGATTTCCAGTGTCTGTGGCTTGGACCTGTGTTGCCTTTTTGGTGTCTGGGCATCAATAGAACTTTTCTACATTTAAATATACTTTAGTTAATTTTGTGAAAAATCAATTTTGCTCCAAGTTGGGGGAATAAGCTGCTGCCGACCTGCTGTGTTTTGAGGGGTCTGAACAGGTCTCTTTCGCTGAATATTCTTTTGGAAGTCTTAAGCATACATCCCTTTTGAGACTGTTTTTGGGGGAATTTCCCTAAAATGACACCACATCTAGATGGAGCAACAAATTAACTCTTAAATTAGCCTCATATCCTCATGTGTTTATTTATTGGTTTCTTGTATTTGAATAAGGGTATTTTTACTTTAGAGTCTATTGAATAAGTTGCATAGAAACCGAAGTCTCAGAAACCTCCCAGCCACTTGTAAAGTTTATCTGGCCATGAAATTGAGATTTCACAATGGGGAGAGATGATCAGATAGATGATAATCATTAGGAATAGGGCAAATATCATCTGTCATTTTTAACAGTAATATAAAGAATCTGAGACTTGAAGGAAGGAAATATAACACAATATAGTTTTAAGATATTTGGAATAATATTTGGAATATGGAAAAATGCCTAAAGTTGTTAGAGTTCAAATAAGTGCTCTTGGATGACATTAGGGCCTAACATCAATGAGAGAAATGTAAAGACATTTTTTAAAGGGAGCCAACACAGACATCTCAATTTTACTGAAGAAAATCCCTACACATTTAACACATTGGTTTCCTGATCAGTGCTGATTTGGTTGTTGATAAAAGCAAGTCCGCACCATCAAATGATCTTTGGGCTGATGGCCATAAGGAGACCAATAAAGAGAAGACCAAGGAAGTTCATTAAAGCTAGATTATTGAACTGATCTGTGCAGGAGAAAGGTGAGACTAATATATTTCAGCTTGGCATAAACCAATTTGGCTTGTACCAACTTGGCTTTTCCCAAATGAGAAAGTCATTATTTTTTGGCACTAAAATGAAACCACTTAATACTATCTCGTTTTTTTTAATATTTAAGAGAATTATTTCAAGTTTCTGATCATGTAAATCACGAAACTATTTGAATGTCATTTGTTAATACCTTCATGCAAACAGCTTACAAACATTTATGCAGAAGGGGGCCTTTCATGGTGTGAGGACAAATTACATCAATTCTTTCTCAAGTGAAATTCTCCATGATGTCTGAAACTTTTGTCTATACAGTCCTCACTGGAAGTTCTATTTGCAAATAATTTTTTATTCATCCAGTTCCCAATCTCTTTTCCTTCCGCACCAACAGCTACAGAAACTGGCGGGCAGTAGTTCATGTGCAAATTGCTATTTTTCTGTACATGCCATTTTCCCTTTACTTGTCCTTTTATGTAACTTCCAATGTCGAGTATGATAGGCCCAAGATTCATGTCCTAAAAACTGTGGATTCAAATGCAAAGGAAGTCCGGGCTTAGAATAATGATCAGGAGACCTGGGACTCAATTCTTCCATCTGCTACTTGTAGATAATCCATACATCACAGGGATAGTAACATGTCGTACTTTGCTTCCTACATGAAACTTTTACTGATCTGAGTTATGTTGATTTTCTTCTTTCTATAGGTACATCTGATATTTGTTTCTATCTTCCAGGTGCAATTGTTCATATTCTGCTTTGTATGATAAAGGTCAGGTTCTGTGTGTCTTAAACTCCTTATAAATGAAAACTTCCTGAGAGGTAGCAGTAAGTCCAAATCATCTTTTTTTTTTTTTTGAGATGGAGCTTCACCCTGTCACCCAGGCTGGAGTGCAATGGCACAGCCTTAGCTCACTACAACCTGCCTCCCGGGTTCAAGTGATTCTCCTGCCTGAGCTTCCTGAGTAGCTGGGATTACAGGCACGCACTACCACACCTGGCTAATTTTTTGTATCTTTAGTAGAGACAGGGTTTCACCGTGTTGACCAGGGTGGTCTCAAATTCCTGACCTCATGATTCACCTGTCTCGGGCCCCCAAAGTGCTGGGACTACAGGCATGAGCCACCGCGCCCAGCCTCATCTTCTCTTTGATATCACTGACACTGCCCATTCTTCAGGTATCAGCTTACATATCACAGCTCCAAAGGAAACTCCCCTGATCCCCCCTACACACTTATATTAGGCCAGTGTTCCCTGTTCAGGGACTATCTTCCTAGATGGGCCATAAGCTGTTGGAAAGAGTGGTTGTGATTACGTATGTTCACCACTTTATCTGCAATGCCTGGCACAGGGCCTCCTACCTAAATGGAGTTCCATATATATTTGTTCAGTAAAGACTGAGTAATAGAAACCCAGGGGAAGCGTGAGTATCTTAGTCACCTCTGCAAGGTAACTTGATTGCATGTGAGAAAGGAGACCCTGCCTCCTTTGGGGGTGAACAACTAAAGGGAAAGGTCTAGCTGTGTGGACCTCAGACTTCAATTCTGTTGCTTTCATAAACCCAAACCATCAGGGATGGGTGTCATATGTGTTGATTCATTACCAGAGAGCATTTAGTCGCAAAGCCTAACTTCTAAATAGTTGATTATTTCAATGTTGTAGTTTTCAAGCATTGGTAGTTTGATGGTAGGGAAGGGAATAGAATGAATTGAAGTAACTGATGGAATTATGTTACTAGAACAGAAAGTCTCAGGGAAGGGGTCAGACTCTCAGTAAGGTAAAGATTGTGGTACACACATGGATTTAGAATGGTCCACCTGAATTCTCTCTGAGAATGCTGCCCTGGGTTGGAGCATATCTTTGGAATGAAGAGGACACGGGGATGTGTCAGTAATCTCAGTTGTTCCCTAGTGACAATCTACATATTGTGCCCTTGGCTGTGTCCATGTTATGAGGAGTGCTAAAATATCTGTTGGAGAAATGTCCCTTTAAATATGTTATGAGTACAGGACATGCCCTAGCATGCCAGGTATTGCCGTTCTTTACCTAGTAGCTCTTAGAAGTAGAATTCACATTTGTACAGGGCATTGTATCTTTTGGGGAAAACATTTCTATTTAGAATGTAAACTATATCATCCTCAAGAAAACCCTATAAAGTGGGGAGGGCAAATATTATTCCCATTTAACAGAGGGAGACATCAAGAATTGCTGGGGATGATGGAGCAACTCAACAACAGGCAAGGGAAACAAAATCAAACCCTGTGCCCTTAATTCTCAGGTCACCCCTGACTTTTGTCCTTTACCCAGTGCATATGAAGCAAATGTAGGTAGGACTAACTGTGGCCTTGAGCTGGAAGGAAGAGGAGAAAAAGTACAGGTAGAGGCATGGCCTGGAAATGTTCACCACTGCCATGCATTTCCAAAGCCTGTGCTAAGGCTGCTAGGAGATACTTGCCTGCCTCTGTCAAAGAATTGCATTACTCCTGCTCCACCATTCTTTATTTTTAAATTACAGAACAATAAAATCAGGAGTGGAGAAGGTTTGAAAACAAAAAGGGACAATGCTCCATGTCAGTCTGGATGGGGAAAATAGAAGGCACTCTATGTATTCCAGTAATGAAGAGTTTTAATGGAAGGAATTAGAGGTGCTGCCACCACCCAGTCTCAACCTCAGCACTGAACCAGTGATTCTCAGCAGCTTGCTGGAAAGTTTCTGTGGATCACAGGAACACCTAGGCATCTCTCACTGACTTTCTTTATCTGAAGCACCTGTGCGGGGATTCTCACATTCACCTGGAGACTGTTTCAGTCATTGCCATTATCCATATGTTGCTCTGCTCCTCCTTTTCTCTAGATTTCCAGATCATACTCCAGCATCTCTCTTAGGCCAACTCTCACATAGGTTGATTCGCTGAAGGTGATTCTGAGATATACAGTTTTCAGTTCTCCCTTGAAGCTACAGAGACAACCTTAGAAGAAAGCGGATGGTGGTAATGCTAAAACAGAGAATCCAGCACATCTACCATAACCCCGCCTTGCCAATAGCTATCACACGGAGGATCTCATTTCAACTTGTCTGCATACACGTTTTGCAAGATAATTGCAAGCCTAGTGAATGCCCCCAAATTATTTATTTCCTGATGCTTATACTATAGTCTTGAAGGTATGCCATAGTTAGCTTGCCATATTAAACATTGGACTTGAAATGTATAAAAGAAAGAAAGCAAAAAAAAATGAAGAGGAAATT